AAAAAGATAAAAAGGAGAAATTCCTGCAGGAACTGAACCTATGGAAAAATGGATCCAGGCTGGAATTTGAATTTCCTAAATCTGTCTCAGGGAAGGTTTAGGTTGGATATTGGGAAAATTCCTCATGCAAAGGCTGGAGAAATCCCCATTCCTGCAGGGATTTCTAAACCCTGTGCATGTGGAACTTGGGGACTTTGGATGACCTTGGAATTGTTGGGCTTTGACCTTCAAGGATTTCTTTTTTTTTTTTTTTTTTTTTTTCCAACCTAAATAATTCCCTGAATTCTCTGAAATCGGGAGTGAAGTGGAATATTGGAGTTGGGACAGCAGGAGAGGGAGATATAAAAAAAATATATATATATAAATAGATGGAATAATTAATTCCTGATTTTGGATATTTAATTCCTGATTTTGGATATTTAATTCCTGATTTTCCTCTCCTCTCCAGGCACAGGGAAAACCTCAACCTTGGTCAAGTATGCAGAGAAATTCCAGGAATTGAAATTCCTTTACCTGACTTTTAACAAAGCTGTGGCAGAGAAAGGCAAAGAGGTTTTTCCAAGGAATGTCACCTGCAAAACTTTCCACTCCTTGGCTTTTGGGAGCATTGGGAGACAGTGAGTTGGGGAAAAATTCAAATTTCTTTGTGGATTCGAGGAAAGGATTGAGGAAAGGAATTTTTTGAGGCAGCAAAAATATAACGAGGGAGAGGGGGGAAAAATTGGAATTTTCTGATTTCCAATGGGATGCTCCAGGGATTTTAACATTGCTCACAGGGAGGTGGAAATCCCCTGGAAATGAGATTTATTTATTTTTTTTTTTCCTGGAATGCTGCAATTCCCTCCAAGTGCTGTTTTTCCTGGGCTGGGTTTAATGATCCCATTTCTGTTAAGCTGAGGAGAGGAAAGAAAAAGAGGAAAAAAAAAATCCCATTCCCTTCCTCTGGAATTCCAGGGATGAGCTCAGTTTTTCTTAAAACACCTCAATTTTTTTTTTTCAGTTTTTTTTCTAAAAATCAACAAATCTCTCCTTCCACCAGCACAAATCTGTGCAGATATTCCATTATTAGCATAAAAAATCTGATTTTTTTTTTTCAGGGGATAGCCCCACCCAAAAAAAAAAAAAAAAAAAAATCACTGTGGGGTAAAACGTGTATATTTAAAATTTTTTTTTCTTTTTATCACCTCTGACACAGCTACAAAGACAAAGGCAAGCTGAACTTTTCCAAGATGTCAGTTTATTCCATCAGTTTCCTCCTTAAGAAAAGGAAAGGTCAATCCCTTTTTATAAGAGGGAAAATGGTGAGCCAGACTTTGGAAAATTTCTTTGCATCTTCAGATGAGGAGATCTGTGAGGAGCACACACCCCTGTGGTTCAAAAACACCCAAGGGCTGGTGGAGCAAGTGAGCAGAGAGGAAAAAAGAGTGAGTTTTTGGGGGTTTGGGGGTTTTTTGGGGGTTTTTTTTGGGGAATTTTCTGGAATTTTTGGTGGTGGGGGATGGCCCTGCTCAAAAAATTGGGAGGAGGAATCAAAGAATTGGGAAAAGAAATCAAAAATTGGGAGGAGGAATCAAAAAATTGGGAGGAGAAATCAAAAAATTGGGGGGAGAAATCAAAGAATTGGGAAAAGAAATCAAAAACTGGGAGGAGGAATCAAAATAGTGGGAGGAGGAATGAAAAAATTGGGAGGAGGAATGAAAAAAATTGGGAGGAGAAGTGAAAAAAATTGGGAGGAGAAGTGAAAAAAATTGGGAGGAGAAGTAAAAAAATTTGGGAGGAGAAGTAAAAAAAATTGGGAGGAGGAATCAAAAATTGGGAAAAGAAATCAAAAATTGGGAGGAGAAGTGAAAAAAATTGGGAGGAGAAGTGAAAAAAATATTGGGGGGAGGAATGAAAAAAATTGGGAGGAGAAGTAAAAAAAATTGGGAGGAAGAATAAAAAAATTGGGAGGAGGAAACAAAAAATTGGGAGGAGGAATCAAAGAATTGGGAAAAGAAATCAAAAATTGGGAGGAGGAATGAAAAAATTGGGAGGAGAAATCAATAATTGGGAGGAGGAATCAAAAAATTGGGGGGAGGAATAAAAAATTGGGAGGAAGAAGAAAAATATTGGGAGGAGGAATCAAAAAAATTGGGAGGAGGAATCAAAATTTGATTTTTATCCCAGGATTTGATTTTTATTCCATTCTTTTCTTTTCCTTCCAGGGTTTGATTTTTACTCCATTATTTGATTTTTACTCCATTATTTGATTTTTACTCCATTATTTGATTTTTTTTTTTATTCCACCATTTGATTTTCCTTCCAGGATTTAATTTTTATTCCACAATTTTATTTTCTGTTTGATTTTTAGATCAGTGTGGA